ATGTCTTTCTCTAGTTACATWCAGGTAGGTGGATTTGTGTATCACTTTACAAGGAGGTGTCATCTGCCCCAGCTTGTTATATTTTCTGACTGGGCACATGTCAGTTTTGTTATCACCATCCCAAGGCTCTGTATTGCATAATGTTATATAACCAAATTTGCTACATACTGAAAGAAGTAAACCATAGTTATTTAGTTATAGAAATGTCAGAGGTCACAGTGTAAAACAAGGAGATATGGACTAAACTCTTGTTTCTARACCAGCAAAGATACCTGCTCAGTAGAAACGCCATCAGCCCCCTGCGAGGGAGAAGTGCTCTACGACCCTTGCAAGCAGGCCCCAGAAGGAGCCTGTAAAAGGGAAGAAGRAAAAAACAAGGCTGCTCCAGTAAAGGAAGGAATGACAGAAACATGTGAGACAGAATCAGGAGAAATGTGGGAAAAGAACCAAAGCAAGTTATATTTATTACCATTGTTTCATTGTATGTACAATTTTTGAGGGCCAACCCAAGCTATTTGTTTCTGGCAGCAAACAGCTATTTAACCAAAGAAGTAGATGGTCCCCTCACTGAGAGTATGCTTCAAATAGCCCCAAAAACTGGTTCTGTATGTCTTTTTCAAATGAAAACAACATTCTTCACCAAATATACTTCCTTAGATTAGGTATTAGCCAGTAGTATTGACTTTGTAAAGGCCAATTGTGGATTCCTGATACAGGCTTAAGGATCCTGTGACATCACTCAGAAATTGCAAGTGTTACAGGGAACAGTGAAACTGTGTGGTATTTTCCAAGTGCCTGTGATTTCCTAACCACAGCATTGGACACCAAGGGCCAAAGGCTCCTGGAATGAAGCAAAGCATGGCACCCACCCCCTGGGATGTGCTTGGCACTGCAGTGCTGCCGTCCAGTGCTGCTGTGCCATGCAGCAGCGTGCTTTATATGGAGAGCAGGCAGATTTGACAGCTATTGTAAACACCCTACAGCCACAGGAAAATGCAGCCATTTTCAGCTGCGCAGAAAAACAGCTTGTGTGTATCATGGTGGTGAATCTACCCRCGTACAGGTGAAGTTACTGACACCCGATGGACTCATTCACTGCTAGATCTGTGCCCTTCATTTAAAGCCAGCAACACTCTTCAGGTTGGAATTTTCCAAATATAGCTTTGACAACCCAGTTCTGAAAGCTCAGGGGAAGAGACATGACTACTTTGCTAATTGATGCTGATACACCAGGGAGGCTCAGCACTGTCTACAGCAGAGTTTTCCCTTAAAGTGGACTAGGTCAGTTGGATRCAATTGTACCAAATCAAACAGCAATTCTCATAATCAGACACTCTTTCTCTAAATTATCACATATTCACAACAGTATTACTAGAGTGGGAAAACACTGTATTCAAGTTGGGGGGCCAGCACTGAAACAAYGTGTGTTAATTTAATTCCAGCTGCCTGTGTAGGTGTCTCGCATAATTTCAAACCCTTGGAACTAGCTGATAATCTAGTTTGCCCTCTTGCATAATCCAAGACATATATTTCCCTCTGGTAGGGGACTGAACATACTGTGCTCAAGAACTTGTATTTTTAATAAAAGTACAGCTAGTACTTGGCTAATACATACATTTTGGAAAGACATTCAGTTTTCTTCCGATGGTCTCCAGGAGATTCAGTATTTACCACTTGTTACATTACATCCTCAATTGCACAAACCCAGTTTTAAGTTCTCCATGGGGACAGTGTCTCATTCAGTACACAGGATAAAATCACTTAGCTACCAGCCATTCAATATTTTATTTTCACTCTTTTTATTTGATGCATAGCCCTAAAAGCCTTGTTTACTGCACATTATTCCAGCTCTATTCTGAAGGCAGAATGATTAATTTCTTTACAGACTTTTCTATACTGCTCATCAGATGCTTCTAACTTGTTAAGTGCAATTTCCTAAGCTTTTGGAAAAGCACACAAAGGAATGCCATTATGTGGCATCATGTAACTACTGCCATGATTCATATCAGCAGGGATAGACCGACCTTTGCTATCTTAGCTAACAGGTGTGAACTACAGGCTGCCAGCACGGCCGAGTTAAAGGAGGTGAGGCACATGCTTAAGCAAGTGATTTTCACTGATACTTGCTGGCACCAGGATGGGAAGATTCAAAATTCAAAGGTGACTGGAGAATATGGAGAGGAGGTACTCTTACAGATCCCTCTCCTCTGCGATTCTCCTAAGACTGACTCCTTTAATTCACCCTTTTCAACATGCCCATTCCTCAGTCCATGGGTCTTCTTACCTACCCAGTCTTATCCGTTGTTGTCTATCTTAACTTATTTTCTATCCATCCTTATTTCTCTCACTTTGTTATTCAGCTTCTTTCCTCTTCTCTATTTGCTTACAGACTGAGTCCCTACCCCCAAATTTCTTATCTGTCTTTTACAACTCGCCTAAATTTTACATCCATCCCTTGACTAAAAYATCATCATAGAATACTCTGAATTGGAAGGGACCCACAAGCATCATCAAGACCATCTCTTGGACTCACACAAGAGAAGAATCACACCATGTGTCTGTGAGCATTGTCCAAGCACTTCCTGAACTCTGGCAGGCTTGGTGCTAYGACCACTTTACTGGAGTGCCCATTCCAGCGCTCAGCCATCTTCTGGRTGAAGAACCTTTATCTAATACCCAACTTCAACCGCCCTGACACAACTTCAGGCCATTCCCTCAGGTTCTGTCACTGGTCACTGMAGGGAAGAGATCAGCACCTGCCCCTCCTCTTTTCTTCACAAGGAAGTTATAACCACAATGAGGTCTCCCCTCAGTCTCCTCGAGGCTGAACAGACCCAGTGACCTCAGCTGACCCTCATGTAACTTCACTTCAACCATCCATGGAGCTATCCTTCACCATCTTTGTTGCCCACCATTGGATACTTTGCAACAGTTTAATATCCTTCTCATATTATATCACCCAAAGCTGCTCCCAGCCCTCGAGGTGAGGCCACCCCAGTGCAGTGCAGAGTGGGACAATCCCCCTCCCTTGCCTGGCTGGCGATGCTGTGCCTGTGTCCCCCAGGACAGAGTTGGCCCTCCAGGCTGCCAGGGCACTGATGCCTCATGTTTCACTTGCTASTGACCAGGAGCCCCAGATGCTTTTCTGTGAAGCAGCTTTCCAGCCTCTTGTGCCCCACGCTGTAGGTACAACCCAGGGCTGCCCCAAAGCAGGTGCCCTCAGGCCCCCATRCTGGCAGTGACCAATGACTGCACTGTTTTTCAGGAGTTTTTCARTAACTCMCAGAATAATCTCTATAATTTTACGAGTCAGCTGAAGTGAGACTGACAGGCCTGCAGTTATGAGGGTCATTCCTCTTGCCCTTCTTGAAAATTACTGGAGTTTGAAGGAAATAAGCATTCACAGACTCCTTAGGGCTTTCAGAAATTATCTATTAAGCACATACGTGTTTTTTAAAGGTTACAAGTTGGATAACCTAGGAAGGATTCTCTCAGGGATGATAAAGAGCACATTCATATRTTACCATTCCTGACAAAACATGGAGACACTAAGGTACAGTAAAGRAGATACTGCAGAGGCCTTCAAGGTCTCTTGTTTAGCCTCCTTTTCAGAAACAGCTAAGCYATATTGGGATGCCATTTTCTGAAGTAAACTCAGCGAGAACATCGATATGAGCACCTTGGAAATTTTTATTCCAAGTTACTACAGTTTCAGAGAATTGCACACAACTGAAATGTGAATTTCACAGAATGTGGTTATGYCCATAAAATAAGACAAAAATGAGAGCTATTAGTATCATGTTGGTATCTAATTTGTTGGCTTTTCTGGTATCAGCGACGTCTCTGAATTCAYGACACAGAGCAAAGAATATCATTCCATCTAGCTAGGTTTTTACTGACTGAATTTGTAGAGGCTGTGTTACAAGAATGAAGTAATATTATTGCCCCATATAAGCCTGACATGTGTATAGCAGTCTTGGAACGTTCTTCTGACATACACCAGCTATTCATTTGCTATTTTTGTACCGAACATTTATCATTACCAAATATCTTGTCCTTTGCCTGTAGGTTCTACTATTTTCTCTCAATTATAACTTCACTTAACATTTGACCTCTTGTACACTGGTATCGCTTCAGTTTTGGAGGTGCCAGCAAACCTCATCAGGACGAAATTTATTCCAGGAGATACAAATCTGCTAGCAAAGACACTAAGCAGTCACATGGATATAGAATTCTTGTAAAAATTAGATTAGTCAAGACAAACTTCTAAAATTCCAGAGAGACCTGGTAAGGGCTACAGTTAACAAAACACACCATTGATGAAATATGATTAACTGTTATTTCACAAAAGAAGTGGGTTTTGGTCTTCCACAAAGCTCCCTGTATAATTATTACTGTTATTCAGCTCTAGGCCCTGTGTGTGGAAAACAGTTTGTTTTGGGCTTGGTGCCACAGAAAAAGAAYACTTGCTGGGTAGGAGTATTACAAAAAAAAAACTCCACAAATGTGGAGTCACTGCCCCTACACAAGGCTGGAACTAAGACGCAGATTAAAACAGTAACAGRTTAATTTTATTGTAAACTCATAGTTTATCTTGATTTGAGTAGAAACAGAAACCAGCCCAAGGTTTACAAACCCCATATATGTATATATATAATAGTTATTTAGGTCAGCTCTTTCAGACTTCAGTGTATTGCTTATTTAAAACGCATAACAGTTAGAAGAAAAAGCAGCAAAGACAAAGCAGTGAATTGACTTCCAAAACTATCACCCTTTGTCAATTAAAATATTTACTTCTGACACAAGTCCTAATTAGTTTAAAAATTCAATCCAGTTTTAAAATAGAGGTTCAAGCTACCCAATTTAYTCTTGGAACAGTCACTTGCTCTCAGGATTAGGAAGACAATGGCACCCAGAGCAAGCATGAGCCCTCTTCCCCTCTTATTACAGTTAATCAGGAACATAAATACTATAATGGAGCTGAGCCCCTGCAAACTCACCAGGCTGTGCATAATTTCCACTCCAGCTGGATTCACTGTGAGCGCTTCATCATACAATTGCTTAGCCTCCTCCAAATTGCCTTTCATCTCTGCAAGCCTCCCACGCATGTACAGTACAGCATGAGATGTGGGGAAAAGACTAGCTGCCTCCTGGGTACAAAAGCTTGCTTCTTTGAGATGCTGCTGTTCCAGGAAGAGTTCAGCTGAAGAAAAAACAAAACACCAAGCCATAAAAATAAAGCCAAAACCACCCTACCATTAGATGAAATGAAGCAGAGACCTTTATTMATATTCATTATATATCATCTGCCTTAAGCATATTAAAACGTGAGGCCATGATCCTGCAGTGTTTAGTACTATGGCTAGTGCTTACTATCATGACTGGATTCACTGCATGTATCTCTTCCTAATGCTAAGGGATCTATAGAGATGCTCATGGACATCTTTGGATGGTGTCCTGACAGTGGACAGCCTTAAGGATTCTCCTGGGAAAGTAAACAGTGCTGAACTGAGCCCTAAGGAAGCAGGGCTGGTAGCTGCTTGGAGTCATCACAYGTGTTTCCAAATCTTCTGGGGGGAAAAAAGAACAGAACGAGCCACTGTCTACTGAAAACTTGAAAAATATCAGAGTAATAGGATACATCTGAGCTGGACACTAGATAACATACTTAAAAGAAGATTTTCACATTTAAAAAGATGATTAAAAGTGCTTTTCTCTGCTTATTTGGAAAGTTTATGCAGCAACTGTCAATTTTGCAGAGACTGTTAAAAATCAAAAGGCTTTTATAATATAGACTTATTTATATTGTGTATTCACCCACTTACATCCTCATACGTTACAGAGAAACAGAATACAGTTCTTGGAAGAGAGTGCTCATTTACTTTCTTAAACTATCTGCAACTGTCTTAGTGGTTTTCTTAGAAAAAAAATATAAGAGGCATACTTATGTGTTTGAATGTCACCTTGTTAAAATAATTTCTCATGATAAATTTCATAACATATCTCATGGTTGAACTTCAACATTTCTCATGATTTGGGCTAGATGATTATGGTGTTGGACTGGATAATTGTTGTAGGTCCCTTCCAACTGTCTATTCCAATAGTCCCTTCTATATAGTTTATTCTAATTATAGATTTATTAGATATTAAATTCTTTCAAAAGGTCAAAAGTGATACTCAGTTTTCACTGCCACACGTAACTGAAAAGGGAAACTGATTTTATGTATATACACACATATATATACACATACATGAAAGCATGTATGTAGATAAAATAATTCTCTTTCTTCATATAGTGGGCATTGCTCTTTGATCCACAACCTGTTTGTGTTCTGCATGTTCTCACTGCAAAAATTCAGTGTCTCTCTTTTTTTTTTTTTTTTAAACTGATGTAATGCAGTAAGCATTGACAGTTCAAAAGTCCAATTCAAATTACTAATTCAGGCTCCAGATTTAGAAAAAACTATTCTGAAATTAGACATAACCTTAAATGTCCTGACTTTTAAAGGCAGTGAATATTCTCAGGAAGCCTCTGTGAGGGGGRAAATTAGAGTGAAAATTGAATAGCTTTGAAACTCTACAATTTTGAAACCAAGATGACTGTGGGGACTTGGCATGGTGATGTGGAGCTTGCTAGAGRTGAGCAGGGAAGCCTTTCAAAGGCAGTCCTCCCTGACCATGGAAAGGCTCCACCTTGGCCTATCTGACATGAGACTGCGACCACAAATAGCAATTCTACTGGCACACTAAAAGTGATCCTGTACTGAAGTGACTGAACATCCACTTCTGAGGTGACTCTCCTAGAAGAAGGGTGAGGCATTGCACAGAAAATGCTCGAATATTTCTCAGCCATCCCTAGGCTGTGGTACAAGATAAATATCATTCTCCAAGGCTGTCAACATGAGCAAAATGTTAGCTCCTTCAGAAGAGTTATACTCTTTCAAAATGACTCAYACATTTCTTTCTGGTTAATCATAAAATCTCTGCATGCATCCCTTCCCTTGGCTCCAAGRGGCTGCAGCTATCTATAATAACACAAAGCAAGGCCATGTACCTTGTCAAGCTGAATATGTGCACAGTTTTATGCAAAAATTTGTGGGAGGACAGTATTTTCCTTGCACTCCCAAGGAACAGAGCGTTTTCCTGCCAAGTGCTGCATGGCAGCTGATGCCATGCATGTGGCATTAATAAGCCTGGTGATGTGCAAAGCAGCGATTCACAGCCTGAAGAYGAGCACTCCATTCCCAAAGTTAGCACAAACTTAGCAGCAGAAAAGAAGGGGTGAAATCCTGGTACTGTTTGAAGCCAGCAGAAGTTCTGGATACTGCCATATTAAAAGCTCTATTAGCAACTAAGAGTATCATGTGACTTGTTTCRTTTCAGAACAGAACTGGGAGCAAGTGGGTTTAGATGTGAAATCACGCACAGCCCGTGTTTCAACACATGCAAAATAGAGAACACTTATTCTTTCAATGGTGCCTGTAAATCTTCAGTAATAACAATTATTTAGAGGAACTGCAGCAACACAGAATCTAAATAAGATCTACAAATTGTATTTTATGGTATGGTAATGTARCATATTAAAGTTCAGTCCATTTCTTTGCAGGCTCAATAGTCAATAAAAAAKATTTAATGGTGTGGGAGGCCTAATTTGCATAAAAAAGAATGAGAGGGGTGCCTATTGGTTATGAAAGGAAAGGAATGCTAAAATTTTTAGCTACCCAGCTAAAAATAGACATTAAAGGACATCGTTTAGGCCTGCATTAAAATGTGTTTTCTGTAAACTCATTTTTCACTTCTATTACACACTCATTTTATTTACAGATTAACAAGATATGCTTATGTAACATGGAATAGAAGCACAGCTAGAGGCAGAAATCAAACCCAAAAAACAAGGACCTATTAAATTTATCATGGTAAAGCCCTCAGTGGTACTGAAAGCACCAAAACACCTGCCTTCATGTTACCCAGGTGAGCAGCCTCCTGACCACTGGATTCATCAGCTTATGCCCCTATATAACCTAACTATGCTGTAAATAACATCTAAACAAATTAACAGCCTTTGTGACAAAGTTCTCTTATAGAGACATGGCACCCAGTTCCACTCCAAAGCAGAGGATACCTTCTCATGCTGACACATGTATCTAACATCGGTAATTGTTATCCTGTGAAAGAGTTAATGCTTCAGGGAAATCATTTATGAACCCTAACTRCTGGACTAGATTGTTCTTGGTACTGACATTCTTCAGAGTTTTCAACCTAAACCCAAGCTTCCTTGCTCTCTCCCTCTGCCATCAGCAGTGACTACGGAGCTATTACCATGACAAAGGGKTCCCCCACTGCCTTTCCTTTGTGGCAGGTGAGGTTTAGTCATTGTTCCATGCTATGACACCACCCCCCATGCAGCAGCTTGACAATTCGTGGCAGATTAGACAGAAGATTCCTCAAGGCATATCCTGACTACAATAACTTCATTTGATGCAAACGTTTGATACAGAAATGAAGTACAGAAACTTCTGCTTGCTCCCATATACCTGAGCTCAGCCACTTGCTCTTTTGAATGAGGCAATAGATTTATAGTCTCAAAGGCTTTCTTTGCATGCAAACTGAAGTCCAGGGACTGGCTTTAAACTCCTAAACTTCGGGTCTCACAGGGCTTGAAAGGACCACCAAGCTTCTTTATTTACAAAGGCAGCATTAGAGTGAAAGTTTTTGGAAGCAGCACTGAAATGCCACAAGCTACCTTCTACAYTAAATGGTGCAGTCAAAACATGACTACACAGCCCAGTCAAGCATAAATTCCTGTTTTCTGTCTCTGGTATGAATAAATGTCCTACCTCCTTCTCCACCACTGTGTACACTTTATCACTTGTCTATACTGACCAACTGAGGAAATGATAGCACCTTTTTGGTTCCCTCAGTCACTCTCTGGCAATGCGACAGGTTTCTCTCCATCTCTTGGCAAATTTCTACTGAATGCTTAACAAAAAGCATTGATAGCTCCTGCCTGTTTTCTTCCCAGGTTAGTGTTCAAGATCTATGTGAATGTTTGCATGTCCCAGATTTTGAGAAATGGTATGTACTCTTTGAAGACTATCCATGCCAAAGGATTACCAGTCCATGAAGCTTCACATCCTGCTCCAGCAATCAGAAACACCCAGAAGCCTCAGGAATGGAGGAGGCAATCCAAAATGCCCTGTACTGATAGGGCTGTAATAATCCTTTTGACTTTTTAAATTCATTGTTAACAGAAAATAAAGTAAGTCAAACCGGAGAGTGTAGAACAAAATTTATTAATCTCTCTAGAGGATGTTCAGATGAAGAGAAATAGGGGATTTGGTGGTCTTTGTCTCTGTACCACAAGTCTAGAACAGAGCTTGCTAAGCCAGGAGGCTCAGCAGAACCACTGCAGGCTTCTTAACTTCATTAGTAACACTTCAAAGGGSACCAAACCAGTTCACTTTACCATTTCTATCTCCAGTTGAAGTGTTCCTAATCCCTCCCAGTAAGTAAATACTGCAGGGGAGCCACCTTTGCAGTACACTGTTACTCTCCTTAGTAATGGAAGTGTTATAAAGGACTGTCTCTTGCTCCCCTCATCAGGTTCCACCTTTTCATAGTACTTTGTGTCACTGTAAAGAGACACAAAAATTAGCAGTCTTTATGAAAGTCAAGCACTCAAGCGATGAATGGGGAAGTTCTAAATTTGAAATTTTAAAATTTGAAAGAACTTWAAAAAAAGAAAGAAAGAAAAATATCAGAATTGGTTCAACAACAGTGCTGCATCACAAGACAGTATCTGATCCAGCTATTCTGGCAATGTCCATAAAGATATCTCGTGGCCATGATAAACACCTTTAATATCAGAGCTAATAACTTGTGGGGGCTTAGGATTGCTAAAAGCTTGGAGAAGGCRGAACACTGAAGTGCCCATGTGAAGGCTGTGTGAACATAAGCTGTGCTGGGTGAGCAGGGGGGCAGCAGGGGAGGGCCTGGCTGCACCCCTGGCTGCTGCCAGGATCCAGCTCTGCGACCGGGAGCCAGCGCATTGGAGACTTCAGCCCACTGGCCCCGATGACACGTTCTCGTGGAACAAAGCCCATCTCCTCTAACACAGCTTTTTCCCAGGAACTAGCCCATATGGAATAAAATAAATAAATCACAAGTGTTTTGCGAAAGGGAAAAAAAAAAGTTCCTGCTGTACATAACTCGGGGGAGCAGATGTTTTTCCATTAGCTCACTGTTCCCTGCTGCACTGGCTCTCTTTGCATTTCTTGTTTGTGGCATGTTCAGTATAATCTATTTTTCCTARGTTAAACTTTAGCATGCTACTGAGACAGCAGGTGGCCCACTCCAGCCCCACTGTGAGTACCYAGAATGGTATCTTGGTCATTTTTCTCTAAATGATCCTTTAACTCAGCCTTAGGGTCTACCTGGTGAGGTTCACAGGCTGAGCTTAGCAGGCATTTAGCCAAACTTAGATCAAATTACCAGACCTAMTTTGCTGTAAGTGGCCATATTTGGTAAAGTATTGGGTTAGTCAAGAAGCTAAATTGTCAGATATAAACTATTAGTAAAGACAAACAAAGTGGACTTTGTAGTTTTAAGTAAAGCTTAAAATAATACGGTAATAGRAGCTTGAATACTAGAACTCTTATTATTCTAAAATGTTCTGTATAAATAGAGCATACAGTTATTACTGCCTGGAAATATAATCACACATACTTCAGATAAGAAATCATTCCAGTTACTCAAAGAGCTTAGAACTATTAACACTATTTTTTTCCAATACTGACATGCTTTGCTCTCTGGGTCAAAAGTGATCTTATAAAAATGTCGAATGAAGGTAAATTCTGGTCATAAATTTGAACGATTTCAAGTATATTTTCCTCAGCCAAACAGCATGACTCTATTTTCTAAACAAAAAGGAGGAGTACTGGCATGATTTTTAAAAGTATTAGCAGTAGTAATCTCTAGGATTCCCCTTGCAGCTGTTCCTGCAGGAAGAGGGAGGAGTTAACAAGCTTTACCAATGCCACTGAAGTTTTTCCTCTCTTCTCAAACTTGATTTCAAGCTCTCAGTTATGACAAGTAGAACAAAGAGGAGAAATGAGCATATGGATTGCATAATGACCACCTCTCCTGGAGCTGCACCACCACAGCATATGCACTGTAGCACTGTTCCTAAGAACTCCCTGAAATGAGCTGTTTCTCAGACATAGGGCCAAGAATAATGTTTAGGCTCAAAAATGTTAAAGTGTTCCGAGATGACTCTTTTTAAACAGCCATTACATTCAAGAGTGCTTGGGGGGGGGTATTGTTAAAAGGGACCAGACAAGCTATGTTAACAATCCTTGCTGCAGAACACTTGGAAACAGAATATGCCTATTAGTATTCCAAGCATGCCTGCTGCAGGGAATGGACAACCTCTCAAGTCTTTGAGGACAGCATTCTACTCTTCCAAAATTAACTGTGACTCCCTATGCAGAAAACAGGAAGGCATGGAAGCCCACTAAGGAAAAGGTGTCAAGTTCCCTGCTGCAGATGACTGTACTCCCAGGTGGTCCTGGAAAGAGATGGCTGGGCATGAGATTAACAGCGAGAATTTAGTTTTATTTTATGCTTGACAGAGGAAAGGATTCTTTCTAGAGACCACAGATCCGCCAAGCAGCTCTTTGTTTACAGGAAGCTACAAAAAATTAGCTTGCCAAAGATCACTAGGCATTGCTGCTGRAAAAGACAAGGTACAGCATCTGCTACCGTGCAGCACATTTGGACTTAGCAGCTGCACATCCAAAGATGCTTTACTGTCTTCCATACGAAACTATGCTTGTCAGAAGCCCAGAAAACCACTAAGATAGATAAAACCACTAAGTCTATGCCCTCTTACGTATGACATAASTACCTTTATCACAGCACAAAAGGGATTAACGATTTGTACAGGGTTCAGTCTCCCCTTCAGCCACTCTCAAAGGAACACACACATTCTTATAAGATAATTGTGAAACCTGTTAAGGGAGCAAGGGGTCTCCCCCTTGGAGGGAGTGAGGACACTTCTGTATGAGGCAGAGAGTCCTACTGCAGCTGGAGGATGACACAGTAAGGATTCCCCCATGTATGCATCACTGGATAGCCATCACCCACTAACAGTCCCTTTTACACTGTGCTGCCTTTGTGGCCTTGGCCTGACTGCTGGAGGGCTGTAAGAGCAGCCTTGCACATCTGTGGGATAGCTGCTTTTGTGTGCCTCTCTGCAATCTCAGTGCACAAAGCTCTAACTGGACCAGCTGGTTGGCACCACTAGCTTTCATGCCCTGGGATATGAGGAGGAGTGGGAACTGACCTGACTCTAAGGGAACCCAGGCACAAYTGCAACCTGGCACTCTCAATCCGTACCTGTGAACAGAGACACGGCCAGCTGTGCCCTGTGAGTGTCTGAGAAGGACGGATGCTGTGTTATAAATTTACTGTAGTATGAGGTTAGGAAATTGTAATAATTTTATCTATGGATTTATGAGTCACCTTGAGCTAAAAAGGTCAAAGTGTTAATGACAACAAAAACAACAACACACGAGTCATTTCCCAAAGGCGGATTAACGTTTTTCCCTTTGGAGATAGGACACWGAGGTATGAAAAAGTTAGGCAATTTGCCTGGAGTCAAGATGAGTCATTGATTGAGGAAGGACAAGTCCAAGCCAAACCTGATTAAAATCTACAGCATACTGATGCAGAMCTTTCATGAATATCAAGGGACTCCATATACAGGCATCAGAATGTTACAATAATCGCCTGTGCTTTCCACAGCCATTTATTTTGGGGTGAGCCATAACGCAAAACCACCCGACTAGATCAACTTCCTTTAACCATACATTTCTGTTTTATTAGTTGTCTATGAAATCTCTCTATTTTGGAAGTTACTAACTTCTTACAAGTATACTTGTTCCTCCTTTCCCCTCCTTTCAGATGGGAAAAATTCCAGTCATGAAGGTCAGTGATACCCTTTGGTTTACTCCATTCTCTAGGCCCAATGTAAGATGAGCCCATTTCCAAGAAGTCTTCTAATCATTCAGGCACCATAGACCTTCTCCATAGAGTGTAAAGACTACCCCAAAATAGGTGCATCACTCTTCATCCCTCAGGATACCAGAATGCAGCAGCTTTCACACTACTGTGAGAAGAGAATGGTCAGTACCTCAGCAGGTGCTCATTAAGCTGCATCCATAACAATAACTGACTTCAGCAATGAAATTACTGAGCAGCTGAAGGTATATGTTTTCAAAAAATCAATCTTGAATCAAGTCCAGCTAAAAGTAAGCATGAAGCAAAGCGCAGGTTTAAAAAGTGGTAAGACAGAAAAGTTACAGCTTATAAAAATAAATTCTATCTAAAAGAATTAATTAACACCTTTAAGAAAGGCACACTATTCACACTGAAAAGCAATCATAGCAATTCACAGCAAGCACTAGGTCTTTATTGCTTTTGTCTTTTCAGACAGCAGCAAAAATGTAAACTGCCTTGAGCTATCTGCAAGATGATGGACAACAGACACCTGAGTTCTCATCATAATAAACTCCATTTATTTTGCTTCCCACCAGTCTTCTCTGCAGCCTTAAATCAGCAGTATACACTGAAAAAAGGCAAAATCTTACTGGTGATTTAGAAGCCCACAGCACATCACTGAAATTTACATCTAAACAGGTCATTAAGGCAAACACATGTGATTAACTTAAAGGATGATGCATTCCATAAGGTGACTTTCTTTTGTTCTTTAATAACAATCAAATTGTAGCAAAAACAATGTCATATATTTTGTTCTAGAACTAAAGTCTAATTGGTAGGAAATCACCCAGAAAAACAGCTACAAAAATCTTTGCTGAAAAGTAGGATGAGATGGCCAGGTCTTATGTGAAAACTGTCAATTGCACAGATGAGCTAAATGAGAATTTGAAAGGTTCTCCCTCATGAAAAACAGAAAACCATCAGCAACTTTCCAGAGGGTTCTGCTTTTCTTTCTTCATTGCAAATGATGAGACATCTAATAAGCAATCACAGCACTCAAAGGTAATTTCAGGGGCACAACTGTGAGCCCAGTTATGGAAGAAAAGCTGTGTCTTCTAAAAACAAAATGGCAGGGTCAGAACTCTTAACAGTTCTGAAATGCTGGAATGCAAATTGCAGAATGTGCTGGGCAACTCTGTTCCTCACCAAATATCCTACATAAAACCCCTCCATGGGTTTGGAGATCGCGTGTGGATAGAGTCTCTCCTCACTGTTTTCTTTTCCCTTTGTGTGCTCRCCCTATTGTAGTATCTCCACATCAGTGTCTCAAACTGATACTCAACCTACAAGACCTTGGGAGGTTCAAACAGTCAAGGACAGAGTGGAGGACTTGCTCTTTCTAATAATCTTCACTTAAACTTCAGCAAGGATTGGAAAGCTCCAACTCCAAATTACATTTAAGTMATGATTTTCCCAGTCTTATTACAGGAAAGCATGTAGGAAAAGGAGAATGGAAACAATTGTCCCTATGAACTCCTGTTTGTTAATGAAGCACTACCTGCCCTCTTTTTCAAAAAGCATATTAYAGTGATGACTGAAGTTTTCTGCACATTTTGGAAAAACAAAGGTGAGCTGAAAAATCATACTACTAGAGTGGGGGGTTTTGGTCAAAACCAAATAAATGATGTTTCAAAAATCATCTGGSACAGACAGGCAGATTTCTGCTGGAATAGAGTAATTTTCAACTAATGACTTCAACTTCTCTGTTAATACTTACGTCATTTGATTCGCCACAGGAGGGAAAAAAGAACTCCAGGTGGCCCAGGACTTACCAGCTTGTAGCCAAATTTGTTCAAGAGTTGTCCATAGCTTCACAGGTCCCTGCTTCATTGTGCTGCTCTGCATGGTTATTTCAGACATGGCCTGTTCCAGTCTTGATGCAGCAAGGGAAGAGGCTCGTTGAGATCCTATGAACCAAACAAACAATAATTTTGTATTTTATACTTCTTTAGATATTTCTTTGACTCGTTAAGGTAGCAGGTCTGATCCTCCACTCACTGCATCAGCTTTTATGTAATAAGAACTCTGCTAAATTTTGGCATGACAAACTGGAGAACCATGCTTTATAAAAGAGAGAGGTACTGACCTGCTGAGGTACTGACCATTCTCTCATTTAATTTACTGAAAAAAGCCCCACTAAATTATCCAAGGGCTGCACCTCAAACAAGCAAATTAAGAGACAGACAGTAATTTTATAAAGGTCTGCTTAGCATTCATCAAGGAAGCAACTATATTTTGCTCATTTAGGGAAGCAKAACAATAGCATCAAATATTTTCCACAAATGCCCATTTTGTAAGAGMAATCACCACACAATGACAAAATGTGCCCCACTAAGGTAAAAAATTCATACAGCATTACAAGGTAGCTTAGCCCCATTCACACATGCATTTCAAGTGACATCAATATTTTTCTACTGATTTAGAGGCAGTGTGGTTTTTCATTTAACCTTAGGGAGCGAGGAGTTCAGAGCCTTGACTATATTAACCTTTAGTATGCACTGTAACATTTACGCAAGAATAAAGTATTTGGCGCCCACATCTTTGGGACAAAACATCACATCAMAACCTTGTCCCAGGAGGGCTGCATGAGCAGAGACCACATTCTCCAGTACAGCAAATGGGATTATACTGGTGAGCTAACCTCCCAGAGAGGTATCAAGAGGGTGGAAACAAAATAAGAAGCTACGAAATGAGATTTCAGAGCTCACTTTGGAAAGCTTTGAGAAATATTTTAATATACAGAGGTTTTAATGTGGTTTTATGGCTGATAAGCTCTTTCTCTGGAGAGCTGCTGTGACTGAAGCTCTTGCGTTGATTAGCATTACTCTTGAATCTGTCGTTACAGGCTGACCTCACAAACCACAAGATCCTAGAGTTAAAATCCCACTTTTTCTCTCCCACAGCCACGGGRCATATGCACTTAATGGTCTCTCTGAGAGGGACAGCATGCTTTTCCAGCTGGACTGTGCTGAAGAGAGGGTTGCCAAACCACACCTCCTCACCAGCAGACCTACACATCACCCTGCGGTCCCCAGCGTGGTCACCGGGCCATCTSTGCTCCTGACACCAAGCAGGGAGCCAGCCTCACACCAGGCATGAGGGGAAGCACGTTTCTGCCTTACGCCTGTGCTTTGTGAGGTGGGACATGGCTCCAGCTTCTGCTTAACCCGAGGTGAGAATGTCACAGCTTTGGAGAGACCACAACTGCAACTCCAAGCCCAGAACTTCGATGGGAAATATTTGTCCTATTATCTCATCGCTAACTAATGTCATTCATCTCAAGCAGGAGAACTTCAAAACAGCCCTGCAGCAGGCGCCTCCCACGGATCCCTTGGAAAATGCAAATGTCTTCTTCCCAGAAGCATTTCTTAAATTCCTACATCTTTTCAAAGACATTCCTGATCTAATGTTCCAAGAGATGACAGTGCAGTAATGTAGCAATTATGGCTTTAACGGTATGGGTAAAAGCCATTCAGCTTTGCAGAGAGAATTTATTGTATTTAACAGTTTATTTAACCGATCCACCTTCAGCCTGTTTCATTGCACGAGATTCCTCCCCCTGCCTTGCCCACTCACACTCCTCTCCCCCATCCCTATCTCCACCTGTGAGAAATTTCACTGAAACTCACAGAAATTCAATTCAGACTAGAGCTGTTTGACACAGGGAACACCACCAAGCATTTACCCCCAGAATAGCCATCCAAAATACAGACAGCTTCTCTGCAGCGCAGAGACAAAAAAAAACGGACACATGAACAGCTAGCGATGTTATTAGGAGAGCTTAGAAGTTAGGGCAGATTTCTTGCCTTCTGCATTGGCTAACTTGGAAAAAATTACATRTGCTTTTTGGATTGTGCAGTCAGCCTAATCAGATTCTTATATTAGCATGCTTTGAAAGCAACTTTCAGTATCACATTTTTCTGCCAAGACTGCCCTCTCCCAGGGAGGCTTGTGGAGCTTGTAAGCACCCATATGTAATGCTGGGCTGTTTGCACTGGGTGGGCAGATGGGCTGGTGTCTTATTCACATTCTCACAGAGCTCAGGGAAATCCTCTTTCCCTTGCAAATCAATCCAAGAAAACAGTATCACTGCAAGGCACCTTTGTGCATTTTGGAGAGGTTAACACACTGCCTAAGCAGTACTTAGAATCTGCTAAAGCATCCTTCCTTCACAAAGCAGACTTTACAGGAATATAACATCACAGCTGCTCTCAAAGAAAACCAAGTTAGCTGCTCCTCTTATCTTCATTATCCCAGTAGATGACAACAGGGGAATTTGAGATTGAGAGTGACCCTGCCCAGTGCAGTGGGCATCTGCACAGACAGAAAAATGAGACCTGAGTTACACCACTATTTACAGTGGAAGCTGTTTGCATTTAACAGCCCTTGGCATTCCAGTCCTTTGATGTTTACTTTCTTTTCCTTCTTTTCCAGCCTACACGAGGAAGCAAAATACACTAAGCAGAGACCACACCATCCCTGCCTGTCCTCAGACACAGACACACTCCTCGCTCTAGACACATACACACCAGATGATCAGACTCTCTCCAAGCCAACCCATACCTCCACTTTTGCCACCTCTGTCCCCACCCACCTCTGCTGGGGTGCTAACAGGAGCTCTCCTTAAAGCCTGTCTGACCAAATAAACTCTGTAAAGAGAAGGTTTTTGCCAGCSTGGCCCTTCTGGACTGAAAGGGGCTCAGCCACATCTCAATCTCAGGCAAGCCCCCAGGGATGGGCTGATGGCTACTCCAGCCACAAAAGAGTTTACCTCTAACACAGGTTATTCTGAGAGAGGAGGTCAGCATGTGTCACACACAGGCAGGACTCTGACCTCGGGGTGGAGGAAGGAGATGGAAAAACTTCAAGAAACATTTAAAAAAATGTATCTGAATGTCTCATTATAAGATATCTCTTCCTAAAGAAACACAGATCTTTATAGGCTAAAAAAACCTCCCCACAAAACCTGTCTCGCAGAACTTTAATGTCATGCCTCAAAATACATGCAAATGTTGGCATAAGAAGATATCACATCAATTTGTTATTTTAGTGCAGTCTCATTCTCCATTTAACAGCTCCACTAGACAGAATATAAACTTCACATTTTACAATAAAGCCCTCTGCACATTTTGGAAATAACTCATAAAAATAACAAACTGATATTGCTGTGATGAGCTCTGCACATAAGCCATACAAAACATATCTAAATAATTTTAAAGCACTGTTCTATGGTGTTTTAAGACCAAAAAGACCAAGTTTAATATTTTGCATTTATGAGAAAACTGCTATCAAAATAGAAATGTAGCTCAGTAGATTTACTAGGCTTATAAGAAACACAGAATTCCCAAGYCTAAATCACTTCAGGCAAAAGCATTATAAGATAAGACAAAATCAGAAAAAGAATGAAGCAGCAAGGCAGCTGACTGATATCAGTGAATTTAGTTAGAAACACTGCTTCAGTTAGGAGAAGATGAAGAAAAATAAAGAGGAATTAATCTTTCTGGCAGCAAACCTAAAATTCTGGCACAGCAAATAATCTTATTGTGGTCTAACTGAGGGAGAGGCCAGTGTCAAACCCGGCCACAGTAACCCCCACCCTTCAGTGATGAGCCCAGAGATGACAGAGCGCCTGCGCATTACAGCGATGCTGCTGTGTGCTCCCGGGGGATTTCACAAGAGAGCAGTGCCTGCTCCACATCGATGCAGAAATATCAGCCCTCCCCTTTCCTTCAAAGCAGGCAGCCACAGCCCCAGCTTCAGGGAAGCAAAAGGGTGAGAGGGGCTAGAGCTGTACCCTCCAATCTCACCCAYCCCTCTCTTCAAAGAGACTCCCAACAGGGACAGCAGACCCAGCTGCCTCCCTTCTGCAGATGGAGAACAGCAGCACTCAGAGCCTGCAGAGAAGGGAGCCACAGACCCCTGCTGAAACCAGCCAGTGCCAGCCCCACACTGAGGTGGGTGGTGTAATTTCAGTACGAGCTCCATTCTTACATCCACTGTGGGGGCAACCATGTTAGCATGGAAACCTGGATTCTCAAAGTGGAGGAGGAATATATTTCTTGGCTAAAACCAAACTGCATTCAGTGCAAATCACTTTAGGTGCATGAAAAGCTGGTTCGAAGCTTGTACTTTACATTAATTGGCCCTTTCTGGCAGGCAGCACCATGGCATACAGCACACAGCACAATTAAGACTCAGACAGTTCCTAATTCCCTAGAGACCCATAAGACTTGTATGTTACTTCTTTTTTCTTGTCCAGTTGCTGAGTCTAAGGTTGACTTTCTTTGCAAGTGTTTCTTCCACATCCACAGGGATAGACATTTGATTCCTTAAAAAATCCTACAAGTTAAATAAAACTCAAGTTTCTCACATTACCATCTTATTTTGAGTTAGGGTTTTAAAGGAAGCACCAAATATCATGAGACTTATAACAAAAATCAAATCAGCAGCGCTCTCTGAAATCTTCCTTCCCCCCTTACTGCCAAGATCAGCTTTGATGTCTCAGTTATTTCCATTTGACTGTATCTGTTACTGTAAATATGTATTTACCATATAATAAAGTTTATGCACAAATCCCAAAGCAAATCACCATCTAATAGGAATTGACACTCTCACTCAGCTTTCCAAAACCAACAATAGCAGCTGGCTCGATCAGGACATCTAAAAGGGATTAAATGGGGAGGCAGGGTGAGGGAGGGAAGGAATAATAAAAAAAAGAACTGAATTATACAGTCCTTGTAAAAGGGTACAGAATTCCAATCTAATACCTTTCATGMTCATCTTAGAGAGCTTTGTAAGAAAAAGCAGAAACTCCTCTCTGTTCTCCTGCAAGGGGAAGCCAAGGTACAGGCAAATCACAGTGACTCATTCTGCTGCRGAGCTGGCCATGGAGGCTGACCTCCTGACCAGCAGCACAGCAACACAGACACGTGCAGRCCACCACTCTCTCCAGAGAAAATGAAACATTCACCTCTCACAAAAGCAGGTATTTAGGACAGGAAAGCACAAATCATGTTTCCTTACCAGAATCGGTATCATGAGCATCTGGGAGAGCGAGATGMAGTCCATTATGCTTTTTGATTACTGGTGTTTCTGTCACACTACTTCCTTTCTCAGAGCCACTGTAAAGAAACAAAATGGTGTCACCTGGACATCTTTCAGTGGAGAAATGCTCCCCTCAGAGCAGGCAATAGTTTAGCTGCCATGAGAAGTGAAAAAACAAGGTTTTCAATTGTGAGAAATCAGCTTGTTGAATGTATTAACGCTTGCCCCACTGCCACTGGACAGGGAGGTGAGACCGCCCTGCAGGGGCTCTGGGGCACACACTGGCATTTCGTTTATTTAGTTAAAGGAARTCTTTGCAAACCGCTGGACAAGAAACATGTTGGCAGCTACAAGACAGATCAGAGCACGCCCACTAGCAGACCCACACCCAGCAAGGACCACCATCTCCTGGGCTTGTCTTGGGCTTGCAGAATAACTTGTTCACAGGTCTACTGTGCTGATCCTTTTGAAACAAACCAATTACCACCTTCCACTCGGGTGCTAATTTCTTCTTTTTTTTCATTTCAAAGGGCTTATTTCTCCCCTTCCACCTTTATTCTGTTCAAAAAGAGGAGGAAGATAAAAGCTACCATATAGCATTACTTTATGAAACAGGGAACCTCTGGTCTGTTCTTCTACTAGACTTCTGTCCTCACAGGAGAGGCCCTACAAAGAGACTCACCAAAAAAAATCGTGTGCCTAACAAAAAATCACTTAACACAGATCTCCTGAGCCTTCCTGTCACCACATAGTCTGCCATCCCCCAAGGATCAGTGGTGATGATATCTCCTCTCATCATCCATTAAGGGACAAAATAMCAAAAGGAAAAGTGACTGCCCTGGCTACTTTTTCTGGCACACTTCCAAGCCTGCAGCTCAGCCTTTGGACAATATTCCTTCCAGGAAACAAGCTGTCARAGAGACATGATTGGTGTGGATGCCCCTGTCTTTCAGTCTGATGAGTCCTTTGGTATGGATTTCACAGAATTCCCTGGAATTTGCATTAATCTAGCACAAGGATTAGCTTGGGACTGCTATTTGGTTTTAAACACCATTATTCTGTTATCACAGAAAACAACAGCAAAAGAKAAACCAAGTCCTGTCCTTCCAGCTAACAATCAAAGACTGAAAGCCACTTACTGTCATTCATCATAACAGCAATCATACTTACAATGGCTAAATAACCTTTTACTTGGGCTTTGGGATCAAACATAATGGTTTCTGTTAATGCACTCTGAATTCCTGGGCACTGGACTGCACCAAKCTCTGTCCCTGAATGGGCCTCTCTTGTCTTCCATTCTGGTTTCCACATTGATAACAGGATTGACCTAAATGTAGTTGTTTTATGATGGAACTGTAGGAGCAGCTTTGTCTTAGTCCTGTCTGTGCAGGAATACGGCAGCTGCACTTCCAAATATTACTGCCATGAGACAAATGCTGCCTCAATGCAGCAGCCACCACCACCGAGTCACTGTTCAGGCACATGCTGAAACACTGGCTAATACATGGTATTCCTGTTCTAATGACAGGTGAAGAGACTGGAAAATCCCAGGCAGAAAACCAAGTGCAATGCAATGGGCAAAACAGCCACTCCCAATGGCTCTGCTATCCTGAGAAGGGCTGAAAATTAGCTACCCCTTAAAAGCTGCAGCACAAAGCCTTCAGCCAAGAAAGCTTTTCTGTGCACCCATGGGACCCAAATGATTTGCCTTCTTGCATACAGCACTGGAAAGGCTGGCAGCAGCACAGCGGGACACTGCCACTCTACTGCCCATGTTTTTGAAAGGTAGCTGAGACAGTGGACAAAATGGTGACAAAAATGCTGAGAGGAACACTTGATTGTGAGACTGCAGAGGTACTGGTGTGACAGAGAGAAGACAGGAGGAGACTTGAACAGGGTATATGAATAGCTGCCAGGGRTAAAATACTGGGCCCTGAAAGATTTTAGTCTGTCAAAGCCAGGAAACTTAGGCCAGACAAGTGCAACTGAAGTGCCATTTAATTGCATAGGCAATTATCTACTGATTGAAGTAGTAAAGAATACTGGGTGCAACAACTCTCAGCTTCCTGTAAATACAACCTTCTCTTTTGCAAGAGGCCCTAAAAAATGTCTTTGTCCAAGTCTCACTGRTAAGAATTCCCCTTAAGTTCCTTTGCAAGCCCTACCCAGAATACTTTACATATTTGTTAGCTGATACTGCTGCAATTTGCTTAATACRAGGGGTTTCCTGGGTTACTGAATCCAGTTGAAAACTGCAGGTACCAAGCTGATTCTTGTTACCTTTCAAGCAGTACTTCCCCATAAAAAACACATAATGATGTATTTTTTGAGAAAGGAAAAAAAAAAAAGCCCCGCTGGGAATAGAATTGAAATACACATTAGAGTTCCTAAAAGCAAAAGCAAAGCAATTTGTTTTGTTAAGGCTTCTATGGCTAAAGGTTATCAAAAGCCTCTAAAGCTATCACATCTTGGGTTTTTAAGTGTAAGAGCCAAAGCACAGCTTGGGATCCAAATGCAGTCCAAATGGCTGAACTAGTTATTTGTGTGTTTTCCAATGTACTCTCCACATTGCAGCCCCCTGCTGTGAGAGTAAATCTTCCTCAGTCATAATTGCTCAGTGTGGATTTGATCAGCTTCATGAGGACTATTGATGGATATAAAAATAYTCATGTGAGAGGTACATGATTGAATCTTGAGCTAAAGATACTAAGGCCTAAGGAAATCAATTATTCAAGCCTGTAAGAGACCACTGCTGCTATGTAAATATCTTGATTTTTGTGTTTGGTCTGCTGCTCATTAGCTAAACCAACAAGAATTACTAATAATCCCTCAAGGACAATTTGTACATACACATGCACCATTCTGTACATATACTTCTGGTGTTTATAAAGCAATGTAAATGCATACAGAAATTGGGGAACAACTCAAGCTGCATGACCCTGCTCTCTTGACTGTTGCCATCGAGCATGTTCTCCTTCCCATCAAACACAATCCCTACGGCCATTGTAGGTAAGGGATCTTGGTTTAACACTCCCAAGACATTGTACACTGGTACCTTAACTAGGGCAATACCCAAATGGTGTGGGAGGGAAGAAAACCTAATGCAGTATCTTCCACACTTTCTAAACTTTATCCTTCAGTGGAGCAGCAGATGAAAGGGAGGAAACTGGGAATRTAGCATTGTTTGAATGCAGATTTACTAGGACCAGGGAAGGCAGAAATATGCYACATCCTTCCTTCTTTCCTTGCCCAGTTAGCACCAGGCTGTGCAACCAGCGTGCAACTACAGCCTATGAGTTTGGCAGTGTGCCTTTCCTTGGCTTACTCACTTCAGGACTGTGTCATCCCCACACATTCCCGGGTGGTGCCAACTACTGCAGACTGTGAACAATGGCTGATGAAAGCTCAGCACTATTGGGGAAAACGAAAATCTGCCCTCTATTCTGGACATCCAAATACGGATAGAGATGTTTAGATATTTGGATCAGAAACTTGTGGTTCAAACTGCTCCTTCAATATTAAAAGATC